CCAACAGTGCTGTCTTTAGAGTGAGGTTTGTGTTTCTAGTTCTACAAAACGCCAAGGATTTTTGTTGTAGAATTTTAAAGGCCAGGAGCAGACCACCAGATGCTATTGGCAGGATCCATGGAAGACGGGATGAAGGCCCCACACAAGCTGTGACAACTCGCACGTAAGGAAACCTTCTCATGAGTGGAGTGCTTCCCCATTTTGTCACTCTACTGTACTTCGTAAAGCGGGGGACACATTGCAAACGAGCGGCTGACATTCCATTAGAGCACTCCATCAGGGCACGGAAAATAGAGTAATCCAAAGGAGCTTAAAGCGCACACACACACACACACACACACAGTAAACATGGAAAGAATCTCTAGAGAAAGTGTGGGAAAAGAAATTTACACCTCTCGAATTTTTCGACAAGTTGCTTTCTGTTGTTGGATTTCTACTAAGACCTTAAGAATTCCCAGACAACGGAATCCCTTACTGCACCGCCTCCTTCACAGATACCATCAGAAGTACGTATGCAGGTGTGTCATGTAACCCTTCCAATCTCCTGTCGTCTGTTGACAGTCAGATGCAAAGAGCACTGGAATGTCTGAGTTTCTAGCTTCCCGGCGACCAGAGAAGCCCAGAGAGGGAGATGGGAGCTTCATAAGGGGATATGGTCATTGCTACCGCTCACACAGGAACTGGGGTGGGGGCTGTTAGTCATGTGACCATGACTCAGCTCCAAGGGATTCTTACATGGATCTCCTCTTACTCTAGACTTTCCAACAAGAGCTCGCTTGGGGCAACCTTGTCTACTCTGATTAAAGACCGTGTTAAAGCTTAAGAATTTCATTAACTTGGTCTTTGAACACTGCAAAGGGTGAAAGGTCATGGGATAGAACCCGAGTGAGGCACATGAAGGGCCCTAGGCTGTCCGCAGAAACATCTATGAGCCCCTACAGTGTTTATACTGGGAACACAGGAGCATTTTTCTGGAGGAACACCACCGGGCCCACTCGGCATGACCTCTGGATCGATACAACTGTCTGTCTACCACTTACACCACCTATGTCCAAATCTGTTTTACATCAAGAGCGGATAAATTGAATAACTGGAAAACAAGAGGTATTCTCCAAGGAGACTTTTCTTTCTGGTCTGGTTTTCCTATTCTGAAATGTCAAACCCTCTACAAAACACTGGAAGTTTCCACTTAGCAGTATTTGAGTCGTAGGTACTTTTTATTTTAAATTGCCCCATACTTTCAGTATATATTGTACCACAAGTTTTTATTCACAAATCATTTGCTTTAATACAAACATTAGGCGAGGTCTCCATGGAATGAGACATTTTTAGTCATTGGAGAGAAAAACTCAATGGGTATTTTCCCACGTTCACTACTTAGGACCTTGGATAAGGTCCAGGGTTTGTAATCTTGCAAGCTGAAAGGGAGAATTCTTTGTGGAATTTTATTTTTAAAAAATGTATATACACTCTCACATTATCAATTCTGGCCATATGCTGACTTTAGCCACTGATGGGTATAATTCAGAATCCTTATTTGCTCTTAGAATTTCTATTCCCACTTTTAAAAAATGATTATAGGCAACTGTCAGGGAAAGTTAAAACAAAACCCAAGAAATATTGCACCAAAAATAATAGACACAGTTGGAGTGGCCAGAGAGCAGCCCTGACAGGGGCCTGAAGGCAAGGTCTGGGCATCCCAAAGGATGGGGAGGTGTGGGAGAGGGGAGGGGAAGGAGGAGGGGAGGGAACTGGAAGAAGGAAGGGGAGGGGATTGGGAGGTGTCCTCCTCCGGGGGGAGCCCGGGTCTGGCAGCAGGCCACCCGAGTTGCAGTTGACAACTGGGGTGCACTGAGCATGGGGTGCGGGCCACAAACACACTGACTGAGGGGCCCCTCAACCCGCGTGGCCTCCAGGGGCCTGGGTGTATGTGCTAGTCATGGCTGGGGGCAGGGGTGGAATGTGGGGTGTGGGGCAGGAACCACGGAGAACCCTCTGCATTTTTTCCTGAGGAACAAGAAGGGGAAGGTTGAGGTTTTCTGAGATGGAGAAGAAGATGGAAGGAAGAGTTTTGGAAAACTGGGACTTTATCTTTGGATGTCATCCGTTTCAGACACCGATCGGCTAAACAAGCGGACAGTGAGGCAGCCTGGCATTCACGGAGAGGTCTGGGCTGAGATAGCAGTTTAGGGGCTCTAGGCCAGGCTTGGACAGTACTCAAAGCAGACGGGCTGGAGAGGACACCTGGAGAAAGACTCCCCGGGGACGGAGCCCTAGGGTGCCGGAGGTGAGAGGGACAGGGATAGTAAGCAGCACCAGACACCAGGAGGCAGACCAGGAGGGCCCCTCTCCCACGGCCCTGGAAAGATGTATCTTCCCTCAGGAAGAAGTGACCGTCTGCCCGACGCTGATGACGGTCAGTGTGAAGATGGAATTGTTTGCTGGGTTAACAAAGGACGTGAAAAGTAGCCTGAGCGAGAGCTGTCAGGGAGGCCTTTCTGGAAGTTTCTACAGGAGGGGAATCCTAGGAAGCTAGGATAGCAGGTGTGACCACAAAGTACCAGAAAGACGAGTGGCCCGTAGAAGAGAATGAAAGAGTTTGAAAAACAGAACAGTTAGCTGAAGAACCAGGAGCCCGGGGTCTGGGAATAAAGGAAGGGGTGAAGCGGAGCCGTCAGCAGAGCCACCTGTGCTGTGGCCTCGCGAGGTGTGGCCTAAGACCCCCTCCTTGGATTCGGCCATCGTAACGTGACTGGTGTTGTTTACGAGGTCGATTTCATTAGATGAGGGAGGCAGATTGGAGAGAGAGGAGGATGTGGGAAGGCAGAAACCCGCTGCTCAGTCTATTTTAAGAAATTTAATATCTAAAGGGAAAGGAAGATTAGGAAGTGTTTTGGCATTGATCTCACAAATACCATTACTTTTTATATTATAAGATGCATATTTTTTCATATTTTAACAGCTCTGAAAGCAGAATGCCTCTTATAATTGATGGCATTCTTCAACGTTAATTGGCAGTATTTTTTCATTCTACGCAGTGCATAATGTAAGGGTGCATTTTATGATCGCTATGGCCGTAGGTTTCGTAAAATACGAGCATATAGCGAGTGTCTGAGCCCAGGCGAGGAAGCGATGTAAGAGGATGGAAGGGCGCCACAGGGCACGTGGGGAGAGATGGCTTCGACCAGCATCGTCGTTCAGTAAATATCTGCTGAGTGAGCGAGGTCACAACACTTGAGGGGGGGGGGGTCCTGTGTCCAGGCCTGGAGGGACAGGGGCGGGCAGGCCAGACGGCGAGTGCAGACAGCGATCAGGACTCCGTGAGGGGAGGCAGACTGCCTGCTTGGGGAGGGCGAAGAAGAGGAAGGAGAGGAGGGGGTGTGTCCCCGGATGGGGCGTTCCCGGTAATGGCCGGTGGCTCCTGGGTGTGTCCCTTGGGAGGATCCTAGATGTGAGGCAAAGGTTAAGGTTGAGGGCGTGGAGGAAATCCGTAGACCTTGAATTCTAAGGTGTTGGGAGGTAATCGATGTGCACAGCGGTGCTTAGTGGATAATAGCGGAGGATAAAGTGTTGGAGGAAAACCAAGGTCTCAAAGTCTGCCAGGGCCACAGAGGGGTGACCCCAGATGGAGCAGGTGGCAGCAGCGGTAAGAAAGGGAGAGAGGTGTGGCCTCTGAGAGGGGAAAGCAAGGAGGTACAGGATAATGTGGCCACGGCAAGAAAGCACGGCCAGGACGTGGGCGCCTACTGCACGCCCCCGGGGGCGCTCCCTCCTCGCGGGGACCTGTGACCTGTGTGTCGCGTTCCTGGTGAGACAGCGGGAAGCTTGGAGAAGCCGAGCCAGCTAACACGTGTGATCACTCGCACTGGAGGCTTCCCCCACCAGGAAGTCAGTGCGCCTGTGATCTTCACCACTGAGTCAATTCCAGAGTGAAAAAATCCAGAAGAGGGGCTTCTGGGTGGCTCAGTCGATTAAGCTTCCGACTACAGCTGGGATCAGGTCATGACCTCATGGTTTGTGGGTTCGAGACCTGCGCTGGGCTCTGTGCTGACAGCTTAGAGCCTGGAGCCTGCTTCGCATTCTGTTTCTCCCTCTTTCTCTGCCCTTCCTCTGCTGTCTTTCTCTCTCTTTGTCTCAAAAGTAAATAAATATAAAAAAACAATTTTTTTTTTAAAGAAAGAATCCGGAAGAGTCAGGAACCTAACTCAGAAATGGGGGTCACTCTTCAGACTTCACGGCACCTTCTCAAAGGGACCTCATATCCAAGGACGGAGCTCTGGCCACCACCTGCCCAGAGCCCACTGCCACAGGCTGCTCAGGGCTTCGCGGGGCAGGGCAGGCGGGCTCCCTTCTCTTCAAGGCTCCAGAGTGTTCTCTGTGAGCTGTGTGAATGGGGCTCAGAAGGCAGGAGTGAGTACACATCTCCCCGCCGCTGCCCCTCCCTGCCCATCCTTATTAAGGAGACCTTCCTTTGCAGGGCAGACCCCTGCTGTAAGCATCTCTAAGAGTCCCGGGGCCCCGCGGCAAGGGAAATGGAGTAGAGACCAGTGCCTGGAAACAGAAAGCCGACTGTGATGGCGGGCACGTGAATAGTTGGGGGTCCTTCGTCTGCCTGAGGCACTGAGCAGTATTAATGCCGAACCCATGAAATTGTTCAAGATGTCCCTCCGTGTCGGAATTTGCTCTGTTGTGGTCACTCCTGTCACAACGGTGCAAAGGGGCTGCAAATCACTGTGGATAAATTATCTCAGCAGCAGTGTGTCTGCTTCGCTCGTAACCCCCAAATATTCTGGCACGTAGAGGTTTGCACTAGTCAGCACTTGACTGACGTTTTCCACGTCACCCGGAGTTTTTACTGCCGTGTCTCAGCCAACCCCACAACTGCCTGAGAGGGAGATCTTTTCGTTAGCCCCGATTTCGGGGGCTACAAAAGAAAAATTGATCCATTGAAACTCATGTGTAAACCACATCTTCTTGATCCGTTCGTCAGGTGATGGACATTTAGGCTCTTTCCATGATTCGGTTATTGTTTAAAGAGCTGCTATGAACATTGGGGTGCTCTTGTGGATGGTAAATGGCAGAATTTGAACATGAACCTGGATCCCTTTCAATTCACAGCTTCTGGGCTTTGGACCAGACAAGATTGCTTTTCATTAATTATGGTCCAGTATCACTTAAGCACACCTCCCTGTGCAGTCCAGCCATGCGGATACAGATGGCCAAGCCACCCGAGGAAACGGGAAAAGCCCGCTGGTGCTGGGCTCCGGCACGCTGAAAGTTCAACTTCCAAGCTCAAATTAGTGGGGAAATTAAATAATAAAATGCTCTGTGCTATTTTAGCTGAAACTGCTCTTATTTATAGTTAACTGAAACCAACCTAACTCAGACTCACGTCTAAGGTTTACTCATGAGTCACACTCAGATGTGAAAGCTAAAGTTGCAGATCCACACACTCAGTCTCTGATGCTCACTTTCCTGCTCGCGAGGTTTTCTGTGGTCTGCGCAAGGAGCGTTCACATCGAAATAAGGCTAACACACCGTCCACTCAGTCTGCTGCACGTGGAGTGTGCCCCGGGACCTTGGCATTTTCTCAGGCGGCAGCCTGTCCGCGGGTGGCCGCTCTGTTAGATGCGCGGAGGGCGAGGAGCCCGATTCTCTCTGTGATTCTCTCCCCAGGCGGCTGGGGGGCTGGGCCTACAGGAGGTGGTCAGAGTGAGAATGTACAGGTGCTGACGTGACCCCATCTGGGTTGGGATGCCACGCGGGTCACTGGAGGTGGCAGGAGCCGAGGCTGTGGCCGGGGAGGGAGGGGGGAGGTGACCCACAGAAGCGGGAGGGAGAATTGTTTGATGAAGGCACAGCGTGTGTCCATGGGGGGCAACTGCTCACCATCTTACAGAACGTGAGTCGCCTCAATCGCTCAGCGTCGACGCCAGGAGCCAAACCCAGGGCATCCGTGCCCGGGGCTGTCAGAGCCACACCTGCAGGCCTCCTCAAGCGACAGTCGGAGTATTTCCCAACAGAAGATGGCCCGTTGCTGCATGGTTTCCAGACACAGATGGCTTCTCTCCCAGCTCCTCTCCACCTGCGCAGCTATGCTCTGTAGCCTTGACGCGGGATCCCAGAGCCACTGGCATCTGGCCCGAGGTGACGAATAGTAAGGGGCTCAGAGAAACAGCTTTCTTGTCCCCCTCAGACTGGTGTTCCATTAAAAGGAATACCTAAGACTGGCACGTTTGTCTTCTTAGGTAACCTTTCTAATTAAAAAACATATGCGGTGTTTTAAAAAATTTAAGGACACACCATTTCCCAGCTCAGAGCCAGTATACGTGATAAGATGCTTCACGGTCCGCGGTCTGCCTTCCGATTCCAGCCGGATCCCCAGAGGACGAGGAAAACAGATCAAAACAGCCGACGGGCGAGTGGAGGCAGGAGACCCACAGGACTGATGCGTTTCATCAGATGACGGCAGCCAGCACGTGCCCAGGGACAGAAACGAACATTATTCCGTGGTTCTGAGCCACCGTTGTTCTGGGATCAGATGATTACGCTTTCAAGTAAAATGTCTCTATTTTAAAATTCTTTACTTTTCATAGGGGTTGTTTTTCTTAAGTCAAATGTGCACACACACTCACAAGTATATGTACAGATATCAAAGGTCCATTGAAAAGATTTGGTTTAATACCAGGAAAAAGTTTCTCTGATGGCTGTCACAGCCTTCTGATAGTTCACGCAGCGTACATCAGAGGAAGGGGTCCCCCAGCCTGCGTGCTGTGGCCACGGAGGCCTGGTGCAGGGACCCTACAGGTGCACACGTGAGAGTCGCCCCCCAAATCCTCAGCCCCCCATCTGAGCAAAGAGAAGCCGACTCAGGGCTCTCCCTTCTAGAACCATCCTTCCTCCAAAGTCACTTGCTAATCTTCCTGCTGCGGGAGAGAGCATCTCAGTAGAACGCCTGTTTTAAAATGTAGGTTTTATTATTAATCAGGGCCGGCAAGGCCACCAGGTCAGGAAATGATTGCCTTTGAAAAGACAGCGTGTGACTCTCAGTCCCCAGAGGAGGGGGATCAGCAGGGGAGAGGGGGGCCCTGAGTGCGAGAGCCCCGTAGGGGAAAGGGTTGGGTTGGGTGGCTTGCCTATGGGGAGAGTTTTGCTACCTTTGGGAATGAGCTGACCCTGGAAGGGACTCTCTCTGTCAGGTCAACAAGAGCGAGCCCAAGATGTCAAAGCACCAGAAAATCCAGAAAATAAAAAACATGATTAAGACAAGACCCGCATGCCTTTGTGCGTCCCACCCCACCACGCTCACAGTCAAGGAGAATCACTGTGCTCAGTACCAGGAATTCAGAGGGAAATAAAGATTCCTTAATTTGCATGGAGCCAGAGGGCCTCAAATTTTATTGTGCATATAAATCACTGAGCGATCTTGTTAAAACGGTTTCTGATTTAGTAGGAGGGATGGGGGCTGAAAGTCTGCATCTCCAATAAGCCCCCAGATAATGGCAGGGCTGCCGGTCCATGGGCCACCCAAGTGGGAGGGCATTCAAGTGTAATTACGTGTCCCATTTTTTCAGGCATGGTCACTTGTTAAGCAAAGACTGGGAATATTATTTTATGTGCACAAATGAGCTGTAGCCTAAGACTTGCTTGCACGAAGGCAATTACAATTAAAGGCTTTTTTTTCTATACAAGCCAGTTTCTATCCCCAAATAAGATGTGTTCTCACCATACAGCTCATCCGATAAGAATTGGCCCAAGAACTTATTAATTCTCGAGAGAAAAGCGTACCCATCAGCCACTGAAAATCATGGTATTCTAGGCTCTGGGAGGGGAATGAAGCAGGTCTGCGAGATGGACAGATCTGAAGGAAGTGTTAGAGACTGTTCTGGCATTAAAGCCGGGAATGTAATCAACCCTGAGACTGACTCAGCACAAGTAGAAACTCCAGCATATTTTGAAATAATCCCAATAATCCCAACCAGACATGACCCAGGGTTAGCCGAGAATAAGGATACAAAGCTAAGTGTGCGGGATAAATGCACCAGGAGGGCCTGGGGAGGGAAAGGAGAACAGGCAAGGGGTTGGGTACTCACGATGATGGATTCCTTGTAGATTTGGGATGAGAATGAGTTAGCATTCGGACACAGACGAACTGCGTGGGAAAGGACAACGAAGTATATACCACTGAGGAGAGGAACACAAAGCAGATGCAGTGATCCGTGGAGCAAGGAGCTCAGCTGTACTTGAAGTCTGCGGTGACACCTTGCACCCCTTCCTCCAGCCAGAGGAGCTACATTATTCATATGTAAATAATGTATTTTAAGGAGGTTGGGATGACAGACCTTCCCTTATGGGAAAGTAGCACAGCTCAGAATCCTTAGAAGGATTCTCAAAACGCTTCAGCAAAACAACCTGCAGCCCAACGGCTCCATGACCAGAGAGAGATCTCTACTTGTCATTAAACCAGAAAGGTCATTTGCAGAGAGAGTCAACATGTTTCTCTCCATCACCAGTACCTAAGCACCTACTCAAAGTGAGTCTGTGGTTCCAGTGTCGAGAATCTTTCTAAGGTGAGAGTAGTGTCCTGCCATAGCACCCCCACTTCCATTAAGCCCTGTGCTTTGTGGGCCCTCTCCCACCCCCAGCTCTGTCAGGCTGCCTCCTAGAAAGCAAGAAGGACGTCTCCACTTAGCACATGACAGCTCAGGCAAGACTCTGCAAGCACAAGGAGACGCTCCAGGCAAATGTTCTGAGATGAATTCACAAGCTCGCGCACATCACAGAACAGGCTGTTTGCAGGGGGCTGGGGAGGGATATTCAGCCTTGTGATCCTTGGCACCCAGCTGGTCAATCCCCATGCTCTCTGGAAGGGGGTGGCCGCCCCATAAAGGTGATGGTCAGCTCTCTTCCAGACCCTCAGTGTGTGAGGGTGCAGTGTCTGTGTGCATGCATGCCTCCCTTGTAAAATAGTTTTGTCACACGGCACAGAGCACATCCTTCGTTGTGCTCAAGCTGAGCCCTCTCCAACCCTGAGCAAATTCATTCCTACTCGTCATTCAAGACGCCCCGTAAATGCCGTGTCCCTAAGTAGTGTCCTCAGACAGCTCATGTGCCATCAAAGTTGGACTTTCTGGTAAACTCCCTCATTGTACTTGGCCTTTTCCTTCACAAAGTTTAACGAACTTTACAAAAATACATCCATGGGAGTTTTGACTTGTTTTATGCCTGACCTCCACTAGTCTGTAACCTCCCTGAGGACACAGCAGTATCTTGGTCTTTACTGTCATTTATCTACACAAATCACCATGCTCAGGACCCAGAAGGCAGCTAACATATATTTGTTGGATGAATGTGTGAGTGAGTGAGCGAGTGAATGAGTAAATAAAATGATCCCAGAGAGCCTAGAAAATGTTGTGATTGTCCCTGTTCCTCCTTTTATCCCTGCTATTCCAGTTTTGGGTTCGGTTTTTGTTAATAACTTACAAATGACATTCTCTAAATAGAACAGCAAACAGCAGCTTTTATTCTATATTAGTAAGGTTTCTAAACTGAAAGGATCATTTCTTCCTATTCCAAGGAAGTTTCTGGTTCGTACATGACATTTCCCTAGATGTATGCAGGGAGGCATTCTGTATTCCATTCCATTTTAGCTAAGAATATTTTCGATCTCTAGTCAGCCTGACGTTCCCAGCTATGCTGGGTGCTGAGAACCGTGTTTAACATGAGGCTCAGAGTAAATCATAAATATGCATTTGCTTCCGACTCTGTGCCGCATCCTTGGCCCTGGGGAGGTTGAGCGTTTCATGGTGCTGTTCCAAATCCCCTCCTGCTAACCACCCCCAGGGGCTCCTGCACCCCTTCCCAGCACCCTCTCTCCCCGGCCCCCCTTCCAGCCTCCCCAGGCACACACGGGTCCATCCCTTCAGCCACTCAGCCTTGAACAACACAAGCTGTGCGAACATATGGAGGCGGGGAAGAAGATACAGTAGATGGGTACACAGGAGAAGACACACAGAAGCTCAAGACAGTCTGAGCTAAGTAAACCCCACTGGCTGGCGTTTGGACACTGACCCAGAGGCCTGAGGATAGGTCAGCATTCAAGATGGAGGAGGAAGACGGAAGCCAAACTGTCTCTTTCTTCTCGTCTAGCCATAGCACTCCCAACTCACCCTGGTCACTTCAGGTGAGGGGGTTTGGTCAGCGCGCGTGGCACCCCAGGTCAGGTCAGGGACAGGTCAAGAGCTCATTACAATCAGGGCAGCAGGATCAATGCTCCTGCACAAGCAGGCTTCCATGCACAACAAGTGCTTCCGTGCACACGCAGGAATTAGGCTTCCTCTGGGAGACCATCCGCTTCACGGTTTGATTGATTCTGTGCCCTCCCTTCTCATCCAAGTGGATTCTTCACGGTCGGTCTTGCTCTAGAGCTGCGGTTCCCCCGCCAGGGCTGCCTGGTAGAGTCACCTGGGCAGCTCTGGAAACTTCCAGAAGAAAGAATCCAGGAGGCATCCCACAGCAGCTGCATCAACCCCTTGGGACCGCAGGATGCTAGCTGTGAAAGCCTTGCGGAGTCCAGAGCAGTCACGCCCGAGGTCTACTGAAAAGGAATTTAGCCTACGTCCAAGTCCACTCTTTTTCTCTTATTGGAGTGAAGGTAACATCAACTGCTTTGCTCTCTACGGAAATTCTGTTTTCCTATTCAGTTTTATGGCACCTCCATTGCTACAGCTATAATTTTATATGATGCCTCCCTGGCATTTGCAGAGCAAAAACATTATATGCAGCTTCTCATGCCAAAAGGTGTAGAAAGTTTTGTGAAACCATGGAAGGGGAGAGAGCAATAGGTTTATTTTAAGATCATAACACTTTTATTTGATTTCCCCCTCCTTTACGCTGGCTGCTGTTACTTTAAAAGTCTTCTGGCATCTAACTGGCAATAAACAGGGCAAAACAAAGTGTTCCTTCCTCTAGATTGAGCAATCTTTATTGCTCTGTTTTAGAGCAACCAAATACGCCTTTTAGAAAAATATGTTTAGCCACCTTCTGTTTGTATAGCATCGGGGTATTAGTGGACAACCCTCAAGGGTGAAAGAGTGGTGTTCCGTGTGCCTCACGTTTTTCAAACACGCTAAGAAACACCTGACGTTAGGTGACATTGACGACACCAGCTGCCAAGCCAGGCAGCTGCACGGAGCTGAAGCAAAGCCGGCTGCGCGCATCTTGAGCCCAATGGTCCCAGACATTTAATGGGAACTCAGATGTGTGCGAGACGGCGGTGGCCCTCCCGTGGATGTAGCCAAAGGGGTCAGCCTAGAATTACCTGCTTACACGGTATTTAGGAAGCCCGTGACCAGAGGGACCGTTTCCGCACTAAATCGACCAGCACTGAGCATCTCTGATGCCGTGGCGGGCCTGTGTGACGGGAGCGGCGTGTCCTCGCTGATATGCGGCTGTGCTTTCAGTTTTCCTGTCTCTTCCCTGCGCGTGGCCACAGGCTCACAGACCGTCAGAGCAATGGGTCGGTACCAGGC